GTTCCCCTCGTTTAAGACGCTCGCTGGAACACTGAGTCTCAGACATTCTGGCCACTTAGAGGAAGATTGCTGATGTTGGTAAGAAAAAGGAGGGGTGGGAGCAATTTAGCCCAATAGTGCTTTATTTATTTAATTGTAAACACTGAGTCTGAGAGTAAATAACACAACATGCACAGATCGATTCACAGATATCGAAAGCAAAAGATGTTGATGTTCACTGAGCCGCATGTAAACTGTTAAAATAGGTGGAATTGTCCTTTAAAGGTCTGTGAACGTTTGAGTCAGACCCAGTTCAATGTGCAGGTTTTTATTCCTTTAAAGAGCAGAGGACGCCATCAAGTGGTTATTCTGGGCACTACAGCCAGTGCATGTGTCCACCATGTTTATTTATGATATCATAATATTCACTTAATTTAATTTATATATAAAAACTCTCTAATTTCACGCTTCTATTTTCTGCTGTACACAGCTTAGCAGTTAGCACAGTTAGCATAAAGATCAGTATCATATAAATATATGTTGACGTATTAAATATTTGATTGATTCGATATAAATAAAAAGTCAACCTCCAGCACAACAGACAAATTCACTGTGTGGCAGTTTTATTTAGAAATACTGTGACACAGATTGTTTCATTATTATTAACTTTTTAATTTAATTATCCAAGAAAAAAAAACAAGCACATGTTTTCATCGTCCAGTTGTTTCAAGTATATAAAACTATTTCTTGACACAGATTCCGTCCCCTTCGACCTCAGCACTCGTGGTAGAAGATTTCCACTATGAATGGAAGCTCGGTCCTGACGCAGCAGGATTCTAATCTCGCTCTGACGTGATCCAGGATTTCTGTGAGACCTCCAGCTCGTCTCTTCCTGTCGATGAGGACGACGGAGCAGCCGGAGCGACACAGGAGCTGCTCTCTCTCCAGGGCCTGCAGGTCTGCGAGGTACAGCAGAGGATCATGGTCCATCAGCACCAGGCTGAACCCTTCACTCACATCAGGCTCCAGAAGTGAAGGCAGCGCTGGGATGGCCTCGGCTGAGCTCGACGTCAACACCTGGAACTGAGGACGTTAGAAAAAAATCAGTTAGATTTGAATGTCCGGTTTCGATGCCCAGTCTTTAATTAAAGCTTTCATGGACCTGATTGTGTTTGAATCCAGACACAAGGATGATTTCCTCCCCCAGCTCTGCTGTGAGGGGGTCCATCTCCACTGTGATCAGTCTGCCAACAGGGGGCAGCAGACGCAGCAGGCGGACCGAGCTGTAGCCACAGTGAGTCCCCAGCTCCAACACCCGAGAGGGACGCACACGCTTTACCACAGCATCCAAGGCCTCACCTGGGTCAGAGCAGACAGTTCTGTATAAAACCAGACTCATCAACATCACAAGACATTTCAGAGACAGAGACAGGACAGGCAGTAATGAGGAAACTAAAGAAACCAATAAATAACTGAAGCTGAAAAATAATACAAGCAGGTGTAAATCTGTACAAAGTGTAAATACACAATTTGTATTTGATTCATCTGGTAAACAACAAGCCTGT